ATGCTACAGAAGAAGGTGTTTATTATGAGACTGGCAGCTACTCCTACTTCTAATTCGTGATTACCTAAGACCCATTTTGTCTCCCTTCTCTTAGCTTTTCATTTATTATTACTCAAGTACTATACTCTATATTTTGAATTTCTCAATTCAAGTTAGTTAATCAGATTATGTAACATATTTGTATAAAAAACTACTCGCTCTGTTCCTAATAGTTTGATGTTTTGGAGTTTTCACACATATTAAGAACTCAATCATTATTTAATAATTTTCATATTTTTAATAATTATCACCAATAGTAGTATAAGAAAGTTAATGATTTATAATCATTACATCTTGAAGTTTACAATTTATTAATATAACTCAACAAAAATAAAATAAAAATACTAGAAAATCAATCTTTGTGGAACAAACAACTAATGCTAGAACATCAATATTTTAGAAACAGAGGGAGTAGTACTTAAGAGGCAAATGATATGAGGTTAAAGGTTCTATTCACTTCAGAACAGAAGGTTGCAAAGTTCTCAGTTTTAGAGCCACTAGACTTCTTTCTATTTGGTTTTAAATATTTGAGCCTTCAAAATTAGTCTCATTTGTTTGTTTTCAGATTTATAACCTTTCAACAGTCCCCACATTTGATGGTGGACTACGTTTTTGTTTCGCGGTTAGTTTGATAATTCGGAACACCGGTAACAGTTATCGATTGAACATGTACATTACTACCAAAAAAATTCTATTATTTTTGTCCTCACTGATAAGATACATGAAAATCACTTGCAAGAAACTTTCCATTACAAAATAACTATGTTAAACACGTTTAGTTATATTTTTTTCTCTTTTGATAAAGATTATCAAGTTAGTTTATAAGCAACTCTTACAAAGTGATCGGATGCACATTGTTGATAAGAATTGGTTAAATCGATTTTCTTATATTCTTGCATTCATTACCTACTAGTTTCCAAACTTGATTATATTTCATGCAAAATATTTTTTTTTTTTTGAATATCTGGAAGTTCAACGTTGGTTTATGTAATTTTATTACATCGCGTAAAATATTATTCGAAAACCATGATCTTTACTTTAACGAGTGGAAAAAAAAAAACTTTACTTTTATAAGTGTTCTACAATCTCGCATGGATTTAACTCTAACATCCCTTGTATGCCATTGACCGTCTCCTTCCATCGAACCACACTTTTCTCGGCCCCTTTCTAGATTCGTGTGGTGGGTTCCGTTTTTGTGTTAAAAGATTGTTTATATAACTACTCTAAAACTTTGGTCATGTATGTTTATAACTACATTTTTGTTTTATTTTCTCTCGGTATATATAATCACTTCTAAGTAAATCATTCTTGATAAAATTAGTTATTACAGATTAAACACGTACTGTGAAGCTTTTCAGGAAATACTTTCAAAAATTCAGGTTCATTTCAGTGAAAATCAATGTTCATATACATTTTGAGTTTGATATGACGTTCACTACAAAAGATTATGACAAATCCATGAAAGATTATAAATCCACATAATATGGAAATAAAGATGGATTTGTTACACCTTATGGTTTATACATGTATATATTAATATAAAGTAGCGCATGTGCATAAAGATACAATTTTGCACGATAGTGTAACACCCAGAGAGCAAAGGTAACACGATGCTTCCTCTTTATTTCTTTCTTTAACTCAATTTATATAACTTTTTCTGCCTTTTCTGAAATTAAATATAATTAACAAAAAATTGTGTAGACAAAACAAAACAAAGTGGAACCCCAAAATGCAGGGCGAAAGCGCAATGCTTGAATAATAAAATCTGAAGGATACATAACAAAAACTTTTTGATAATTTAAGAATAAATTTTAAAACTTAGATATCTTATTTGGTCAAAAAACAAAAAAAAGATATCTTATTTGGTTGGGCATTTGTTTAATAAAACTGAGCCATTGTCCCGAATTTGAGTTTTATCTAAGGGTAATAATTTATGCCTTCGCAAATGTTAGTGAATCTTGATCAGAACTATAGTTTTTAGGTTATTAACTAAACAAAAATATATATATTAAAAACTGCATGCACAAAAAATCTTGATCGGAACTATTTTGTACCATGCAGAATATATTAAAAATTGCATGGCAAGTTCCACAACGCCATGCAAAAACATTAAACATGAGCATGACATGATTTATTTAACCAAAGTGAGCGTAGCTATAGTTACAAGGACTACAATTTCTACAAATTCCTGAAACAATTGCTTAGATGGTGTAACAAGTTTAGAAACTTCATTAAGGTAATGATTATATATAACAAATTAACAATGTGTGACTGTATGAGTGAAAAAAGATAGTAAAGTCGTATAACCATAATATATAAAGACACAGACTATAACCAGGAAAAACAAATTAAATCGTTTGACCAAAAAAAAAAATCAGGAATACAAATCGCATAAATATATATCAAATTAAATTTTGAAACAAATTATGTAAGCATCACATATGAAACTATAGAAAGTGCATAGATGGATTCTCATCATTAATTTGTATTTATATTTTTCATATGTGTGGTATGTCTCACCTGCAAAAAGAGCCCTCTCTTAATTAATATACTTCAGACCTATGTATATCATTAGTGCTCCACCCCACAAAATCTTTATTAAATATTCGTTGTGTGTTTTTTAAATGAGAAGATGTTATGATAATGTTTCCATGCAATGCAAATGGACGCACTTTAGCTTATGGAGACCCAAAACATAAAAAGAAATAAAGTTCTAAAGGGACGAAATGATGACAAATTACAATGATTAAAAGTTGGAAATAGTTTCATACTCACACGATTTAACATACTATAGACCATAAATTTTGATGTCCTACACATACAACAAATAAATATTAAATTTATATATGTGACTATGTGAGTACTTATTTTTATCACTATTTATCAAAACTATAGTGATTGTTGAATCCGTTTTTTTTTTTTTTGGTAAAGCATTAATACCAACCTTTTATATGTCACATTACAATCATCCGACCGAATTGTTAAGGTGACTTGTAAAAGAGAAAGGAAATAGAAGAAACATTTTAAAGGACAAAAGATAGTTTTAAGGCTAATCATAATTGTTCACATCCGGAAGAAACTGAAAGTTAAAAAAACAAATGAAGAGAACCAAACCATTTTGGGGGCAAAGATGTCATTTCAAATTCCCCTAACAATAAGATAGATGACTCACACAAACACCTCCCTACTTATTAATTATCATTGCCTTTGATGTAAGCAAGTAGTGCAACCACTATTTATTTTTGCTTCCATTTTTTATTTATTTATAGTTCCATTTCAAGACAAACATAATAATTATGAGTTCGAACTAATGTTTTGAATTTTAAAGCCATTGAATGTTTAGCACAAAAGGCAAAAGAGGAAAATATATAACACAATCACCGTTCACAAAACATGCATTATTACGATTTATCCCGTGAATAAAATAATAAACGCCAAAAAACCTCACAAGATTTGGTAAAGAAAAAGTAATTATAACGTGAAAGTGCAATAATTTGTATTATTATGCACCAAACAAAGTCCACGAGGGACGAATGATATATGGTTAATGAAAATTAACGAAAGTGCCCGAAAAATAAAAACAATCCTCCACCTTGTAAACTATGATGTTTCACGCTGTGGCATACTCATAACCCATGGAGAGTTTTTTAATTTTCCTTTAGGTTTTTTTGGGGTCCCAAAACTTTCCTCTTCATAATTTCTCTCTTTAATTTTCCTTTTAATTATTTCGATCTTTATCTAAATAAGGGATGATGAAAGGAAAAGAAATAAAGGGCCATGAAGAAAATCGGACACGAACACCTTCTAAAATCTGTTATTATTATGGCTGATGATGAGTATTGTTGACTAAACCAATATTGACCAAACCGGGAAATGAAAGGAGTAAAAGAGAGCAATGAAAATGGTCCAAATTGAAAACTTGAGAAATTGAATAATGAATCATGATGGTTCGAACCAATCCCCAACCATCATTGCGAATCTTTGGGGGACGACGGCCTATTACCCTTCCCCTTCATCATCATTTTCACTCAGTAACTCGTTTCACCCTCTTCTTTAATTACTTTTTTACCCCCTCCCTCACTACAAAATTACCCCCTCCCTATATGAGTACTAATCCAACAAGCCGGTCTACGTATTAAATTTTGGATGTAGTGTAGGGAGAACCCTTTTTTAGTGTTTTACAAACATTACGACTTTTATTTGTGAACTGTTGTCTTAGTTTTTTTTTCCCAACAAAACACGCGTTTACGGATTTAAACTCGGTCAGTAATACAACGACGACACTAGTATAAACTATTATGTTATTAATATATCCACGTATATATTAGACCGTACATAATATTGGAGTTGTAAGCAGTGCCGGCTCACAATATGGGGCGGGCGGTGCGACGGCCAGAGGCCCAATCCCGTGTTCTAATAATTAAGGGGTCCATTTTAAAATTTTTTTTTACAAAAGTATTAAAAATATAGATTACAACATAAAAAAAAAATTTTATAAGGGCCCAAAAAAAATTATTTACTGTTTTTAACTCAAAAACACTAAAAAAAAAATTCTAAGAGCCCAAAATTTTTTTTGCCCTTGGGCCCATCAAAATATTGAGCCGGCATTGGTTGTAAGATTTGGCTCTACTTGTTTGAAATATTGTGATGACATCTATAAACTTGTTGGTCTCATACGATAACGTGAATAATCATTTGGCGGGTCGGGAATGAACATGAGGGAAAGAGAGAACGGCTAATATAATATCTCATACCAAACCAAAATGTGAAGAGGACCTTTAAAATACAAAAATAACCCTATAGAGAAATTTCGAAAGAGAAGAAGTTTTCCCTCTAATTTTCTTCTTTATCTTTCCTCTCTTCTTTCGATCATCATTTACATGACGCAACACAAATCTTTTTTTTTTCTTTCCCTCACATATCATTATTATTAGTATTATTTAAAAAAAGAGAAGAAAATATTGAGCTGTGAAATCGGCCGCCATCTAAGCATAAACACAACACAAAGCATGATTGTTGTGTCAGGAGAGAGAAGCATGTCCCCTTTACACACTCTCTCTCTAGCTTTTGGGATTCTATATAAGAGACACTATCTTCACTTTGTTCTCTTTGTCCCTCTACCTTCCATACACACAAACCTCTCTCCCTTACCACTTCATTTCGATTCTAACAAGTCTCGTCTTCCCTAATTAAAGGTAAATCTTTCTCTCACTCCCTCTATACATATGTCTCTCCTCACGTACAAGCAACGTGAATATCATTTACCATAACAACAACCCAACTTTAAATTGTTGAAAAAACTTAAAGCTTTATATATCCTTTTCTTTCATACAAAGGCAACCGAATAAACCTTATTTGTTTGCTTTTTCATTTTCTTTTCTGTTTCAAAAACTCTTTTTTTTTTTTTTTTTTTTTTTTTTTCTCATTTGTTCTGTTTTTTTTGCTCGTACCGGCTCTGTTTTGGTGTTTTGTTTTTTGTATTTTGCGTTTTGAAAATTCCATCATTATACTTACTCCATCATCATTACTTTATTTTTGTTTTCATTTTTGTGGTGGCTTTATCTTTTTTATCCTCACAAACAAAAAGAGCATGATTGTTCCTCCGTTTGATCATTGAGTTTTTCTTTAAAAAAAAATTGACATTTTTGGTAGAAAACGAAATAAATGCGGTCATGATTTTTGCTTAATGTAATTCCAAATTAAACGTGTGAAGCTGCACAACCCATGTGGTGTTGCAATGATTTAACCGCAACTATAATCATAACATAGAGAGCTTTAATAAATCTCCATTCTTCTTCTACTTCTTCTTCTATTTTATTTGTCTTTTAACATAATTTAACTTCTTCTTTTTCTTTAAGGAACAGAACCAGGTTTTGTCGAGATGGAGAGGCTAAACTCGAAGCTGTACCTGCAAAACTGTTATATAATAAAGGAGAACGAGAGGTTGAGGAAGAAAGCTCAGATTCTGAATCAAGAGAATCAACAACTTCTCTTCGAACTCAAACAAAAGCTCTCCAAAACCAAGAACTCTAATGGATCAAATCAAGGAAACAACAACAATCTCTCTTCATCAAGCTCTGCTTCTGGACAATCCTGATCGAACAACAAAACGCTTTAGGACAAGATTTGGATTTGCTTAATTAGAGAACCCATCATTTTTATTTTCTTTTATTGGTGTAATGTAAGAAAAAATAGTTAAGAAGTGGTTAGTGTTAGTATTATTATTTATTAATTATGGAGTAGTTTTTTATTTTTGTTGGGTTCTTCTAATTAATTTACTACAAAAAGGACAGAAGCATTGTGTGCTCTCTGGCCTATCTTCTGAGGGATATTTTACTTTTGTTTCCATTTATATGTTAATTAGATTTTCTATTTTGCCTTTTCATGTGGGGTTTGGTTGTTTAGGACATGGTGGATTCTGGGACTACATTGTACCTTCTGCTCTTCTCTTAAACAACCAGTATCTTTATATTTTTATATTCCCTTTTATTATTGGGTTCTACATTTTCTTTCATTTTTATAAATTTGCATGGTCTTGAGATAACAAATTGTTAAGGGTAACATTAAGATTGGAAAATGTGACATTGATTTTAGTATTATTCAGTTATGTTAGTTACGAGTTTTATAACCTAAACCAAATTTATTTCAAAGATGTAATTATATATATAAAAATTAAATATTATAAAGCGGTTGGTTTCTTGTAGTTACCGAAATTTTAAATATGGATAAAGTAGCGATAAGGTCCATAAGGATATCAGAAGATACGAGAAAATGATTAGGAGAACATATGTACTTACTAGTTACTACCAAATTTTAATCACGTGATCAAAGTTATATCCTATTGACTGTATTTATTAGATCATGTGCATATTAAAATGTCAATTATTGTCTCCTTTACAAAAAAAATTGTTTCTTAATGAAATTTTGTGGTGTACTCTACCATGATAAATTTAAAATTTAAGAGAAGATAAATAAATATTTTGAATTTACTCAGATATTTAAAATAGCAGATAGATAAAAGTAAATAAATTTTAACATTAGTGAAAAATTTATATGATTTTGTTGAAAATTTGTGTATTAGTTTTTTGTTTTTGACTTAGTTCAAAACTTCAAATACCAGCAATATTATGCCCTATATTATAAAAGCTCAACATACAACAATAAAATAAAAAATGATTTATGAATAGAACATAATAGTATTGGTCTTCCACTTTTTAAAATAATCCAAATAAATAACAATAGTGAATCTCGGGAAAACGGTCTATTTCTCCACGAGAACTATCACATCATAACAGATAGAGCCCAAAGTATGACCTCGGTCTATGTATCTCTAAAACTAAAGTTCTATACCTATTTCCCCCTGAAATATAAGTTCTATATCTAAATCTCTCCGAATTATTAGTTCGAGATCTATTAACCCACAATCATGGGTTTCGTCGGTTTACTATTTACTTAACCGATTATAAAATAAACTAAACCCAATTAAACCAGAAAAAACCAGATTTTTCTAATATCTTTCTCTCTTTCTCTTCAATCACTGTTAAATACTCAAAGACAGCAATTTTAACATATAAATTCGAAGATTATATACATTCACATTGATTTTGTTCAAAAAAAAAAAAAAATTCATTCACATTGATTTTGTTCAAACAAAAGTTCACGTAGTTCTCATATGAACTTGAGATTTATTGAAACCCAATAGTCATCTATCCATATAAACAAATCTGATGCATTCTTCAATCAATTTCAATTCTTTACCATCTAATCTCTCGTTTCTGGTCTGAAATAATTAAGGTGCCGTTTCAATAGAATTTATCAAGGAATTCGATTTATTAGCAAAATAATAGACGAACCCTACACGGAATGAAACTGTAGTTTCTCCCCCGAAGAGAAGGCTTAACTTTTCATAAAAGCACAACTATAAGCAAATGAAAACCCAAAACTGGAAACGAGAGATATCGATCCGAATTTGATAAAACGAGAGATTCAGATTTCATGGGTATTAACGTCTTCTTGTTTCTCACACTCATTGACTCTTCATAAGAAAATTGCAATCCTAGAAAGAAGATCGGCCATGGCTGAGAAGAAGAGCAAGAGGAAGAAGTTTGAGGAATTGGGTCTTCTCCGCCATTGTTACTATTGTGAAGCTTCTCAACTTCTCTCTCCTCTATTATCAATGAAGACAAATGACTTTTGTTTTTCTCTTTAATTAATTAATTACTCTCAGATATCGTAATTAGTCTCCCAAATTGACATTAGAGAAATAAATTAGAAAAATCTGGTTTTTTTCTGGTTTAATTGGGTTTACTTTTTTTACTAATCGGTTAAGTAAATAGTAAACCGACAAAACCCAGGATTGTGGGTTAATAGATCTCAAACTATTAATTCGGGTAGATTTATATATAGAACTTATATTTCAGGGGGAAATAGGTATAGAACTTTAGTTTTAGAGATATATAGACCGAAGTCATACTTTGGGCTCTATCTGTTATGATGCAATAGTTCTCGTGGGGAAATATACCGTTTTCTCGTGAATCTCACTAGATAGTAGTGTATAGTTTGGGTAAAATACATTCCGGTTCAACAAACTCTATTATATGCATAATAATGAACCGCAATGTGAGTACAGATAATTTATTGACCATAAATCCAAGCTTCAAATTTCGTAGGAATATGGCATAGTAATCAAGTGTTGGTGAGAAAATAAATTACTGAGAGACCTACGAATCCTAGAAACATAATTTTCGTAACTCCTAAGTGAAAATCATCATCATAAACTCAGACTTCGGAAGTCAACTTTGAAATATACTCCAGAAAATTATCCGTTTGATGATTACCCCCAAAATCTCTTTGGAAGATCATGCAAGACATCATCTTCTGAATCCTCTGATGTAAGATTATGGACCTATGTTCAATTTCTAATCATTGTTTCTCTATTTTAAAAAATAAATTAAATGAATTTTGGCATGTTGACATTGGACAATATAGTTTAGGTTAGACTTGGCGATGTAGATCATCCTTCTTCCTGTCCCCCCTAGGATAGCAAGTGAATCATTAGGGATTAATACCCGAAAAATGGGACAATTAGCCACACTAATTTTGAGACTTGAACCCTTTTTTTTTTTTTTTTGATTGTTTTTGTCTATTACAGAAATCAATATATTTACAAGGTAAAAACTAGACAAACTATCAAGAAACATTAGCTTGCAGTAAAAGACCATAATTTAAATACTGTGTCCAAATGAATTCTGAGATATGGTCAGTGGAAATTTGGAAAACATAAACTTGGACATGTGGTCAATTCCACAAGCAATAGCCAAGCCAACACGGACAATCGTTGGTTCTATCGCTGTACATGAGAGGCTTTGTTAAAGGAAAGAGAAGCGAGACGAACCCAACCACACCGCCTAAGAACGCTGCACTCACCAAACCTGAGAGAAGAACCATGACCATCTTTAGCTTATTCTTCTGCATTCGCATTTCTTAAACAACCTTACAATTTATGTCTTACCTTTTCCTTGGGCGTATAGCACAGGCAACCCCATGTAGTTGCAGAATATATGAGCAAACAAAGGAGCAGCAAGATGTCCTGTATATATCACGCAGTGCAGAGACAGCATCATCAAGGCCAACGTTAGAAGGTCGTTACATGTAATTTATATAATGCGAGGAATGTACCGGTTCTGATGAAGAGGAACGATGCATATGCACCAAAAATGACTGTGTAGCCAAGCTGAAGACCTGATCAACGGATAAGTGAAGTTCAGGAATGATTAACAAACAATATTATCATGATTATGGATGGCAACGGTTAAAGTGGGACATACCAACAATCAGTGAAGCCCGGAGATAGCTGCGGTTATGCCTGATGTACATCTCTCTAAAATGGCTCAAGTGAGCTATACAGAATATATAAAAGTCAGACAAATCCAGTAATTTTCTTTTCACTCGAGTTGTAAACTGTTATTCACAGAGAGACAAAGAAACAAACCCAAGCTAAAGAGAACTGGGCAGAGAAAGATGGCAGTGTAAATCCTAAATCCAGCACACAGAAGCAAAGGTATCATACAAGCTCGGAAAACAAGCTCCTCAGTTACTGGTGCCTGCAATTACAAGAAACGCCAGCTCTAACAGATTATAATTTGTTCGATTTAGCAGTTACTTATACACCAAACTAATGCATATAGCCCTCAGATAATTAACAAGCAATGTCTTATTCAATTTCAATAAAGAATTGACAGATAAGCTCAAAGAGATGGCAAACAGATGATTACCACGATAAAATTGCGCCAAACGGAAACATTAGAAGCACCTGTCAGTACCGAAGCAGGAATTGTTTGGAAAAAGCTTCTGATGTAATCAAAGGAACTACATCCTCCACCATTTTCCTTCAATGATTCCAGGAGCAATAACAACTTCAAGACCAAAGAGCCGGCATAAACGAGCGAGGTCAATAGAAGAGGACACACCACTCCTTGCCACTGTTCCATATCACAAAAGATAACCTTTTTAAGATGAACAGTGGTACAATAAGCTACGAGTAAACACATTGAGATAAATAACTAACTTACCAGATGATCTGTCCTTATACCATAAACTCCAAGTATAACAGAGGCCTCCCAGCTTTTTATCTAACGTAAGCAAAAAGGAAGACAAGTTTCAGATATTCTTGTAACAAGCGTTGCATTGTACGTTGTACCAAACACAGGATAGTCATGAATCTTTGATTCTAAATGACAAATCGTGTGAACCTACAACAACTAGTAAAAGCTAATTCAACTCTCAACAAAGTTACAAATACATCAAAGTTCTTTGAGTTTCATTAATTGATATCATTCAATATATTAAACTTGACGCCGAAGAATATCTACCAAATGCATCTAGATTATGGATCCAATTTGGTTACAGATCAACGAAGAATTAACTTCAAATCGAGAAATGGTGGGACTCAGAGAAGCTTACCGGAAGTATAAAAGCTGTGAAGACAAGAGATGCTACAGTACAAATGGCCGCGCAGATGAATCGCCGAATCATAAATTCGGTGTAAGAAGAAGCCGACGGGAGACGGAGAATCACGGTGGGAGCGTAAAGGATCAATACGTAGAATAGTGCCATTGCGACGCAGGCAGCCACCGCCAACGACATCGAGATACTCTCGCCATCGATGGCCATAATCTTTGAGGGAGCTCGCGGAAGCTCCGGCGAAGAAATCTACCGGCTAATAAGTGTCGAAGTCACCGCTGGTTGAATCTTAGTCCGGCGGTCTTCTAATTTTCGACCAATTACATCGTGCCACGTTTTCAATCAAACTCGATGGCTACTGGGCCGAGGAGACCCATTGGGCCAATTCCGTTATAAAAGAGGGTATAACAGTAATATCAATAGAAGATATACGTCACCATGCCATTCCGAAGAAGCCTATTGGTTATATTTCGTCATAAACTAGACGGAATGACGAAATTACCCTCAGGCCTTCTTCTAAAGTTATCTCTTCACTGTCAAGAAAAAGAGAACAAAAAAAGAAGGGAATTTCCTCTGAAACGTCACGAACGTGAATTGGGTTAAAAAAAATTCCTCTCATTGATCCAATCCTGAAACCCTAATTTCGATTCTCTTTGCTGATTTTCGAGATCTCAATTCGAAGAAGATGACGAAGGATTTCGCAGTTCCACCTGTAGTTTTCCCCTCCGGTGGATCATCAGCCGGTCCAAATGTCCAGCAACGAAGATTCCCAGCGACACCGTTTCAACCGCCACGTCCCTCTTCTTCCGCAATCCCTTTCATGTCGTTCGACATAGGATCCGCAGCCGCGTCTTCCGCTACACCTGCCGGACCATTCGGCGGCACAATCGCTTCCTCTTCGTCTTTTGGTGGAGGTTCAGCTTCGTTTGAAGATGAGGAGCCTCTACTTGACGAGCTCGGTATCCATCCGGATCAAATCTGGAAGAAGACTAGATCGATTCTCAATCCTTTCCGGATTAATCAAACTGTTCACAAGGATTCAGATCTATCTGGTCCAATCTTTCTATACCTTGCGCTTTGCTTATTTCAGTTGTTAGCCGGTAAAATCCAGTTCGGTGTCATACTTGGATGGATCGTCGTCTCGTCCATATTCCTATATGTTGTCTTCAACATGCTTGCTGGTAGAAACGGGAACCTTAATCTCCATACGTGTACGAGCTTGGTTGGATACTGTTTGCTTCCGGTGGTGGTTTTATCGGCGGTGTCATTGTTCGTGCCGCAAGGAGCGGGGCCGGTTCGGTTTGTGCTTGCGGCTGTGTTCGTCTTGTGGTCCACGAGGGCTTGCTCTACATTGGTGGTATCTCTCGCCGATGGTGGAGAAGAGCATCGTGGTTTGATTGCGTACGCTTGTTTCTTGATCTATACTCTCTTCTCTCTTCTTGTTATATTTTGATTGAATATTGATAGATCGTGAAATCACTTCCGGTGCCGTTAGCAAGTAGCAAAAGGCTACAAATATAAGTTCTTTGATGTGAGGTTGAATTGGATGCGTGTAAAGGCTTTTTTTTTTTTGGGATAAATTTAGAAAGATGTTTAAGAAATTTGATTCAATGTTTGTATCTGTCACTCGATCTTTAAGGTTTTTTTACTTACGAATTATATATACAATTCATCGATATGTCTTTTGACATAGCTTGTTCCTTGAGATTAGATTTGCAAGTGTATCGGAATTGATATTGCGATTACATGTGCTGAACTAATGCAGAAGAGCTTTTTATGCTTCCTTTTTCGTCTTTATTTTCTTATTTGCTTTTAGATGTGCTGATTTCTTGCTTGAATTATACTTATAGGTTCCAAGTTTTAGAATTGCTTGACATTAGATTTGCTTAAAGTATGGCTCCATGTAGGTAGAGTAGAATTTTTGAGTTGGTTTTAGCATTTTTTCTGCGCGGAACATAGCCATAGCATAGTCTAATGAAATAGTGATTAGTATTTAGCGGTTTGCTCGGTGTTGGTATGTTCCCTGATTAGGTGGCAGAGATAAGTAGGTACATAGGCTCTTGGCTTCAGGTTAGTCTTCTAGTACTGTCAATTCCAGAACTTTATCTACTTTTCCTGATAGAATTCGCTGTGTCACGAAAATTAGCACCGCAACTCATACCCTCTTAGATGGAATTGCTTTTAAACTGGAGATATTTTACTAGGTTTAGAGCGAATGTTCGTCGGCTCTTTTATAGAGTTAGCTTAGTTAATGTGTCAAGAGTAGATCAGTGAGTGAGCCTAGTCTTTGCCAGTTTTACCTTGGCCTAAAATATTTAGTAGAACTGGTGTTGGAAATGATCTCTATACAGTATTTATTTGTGTTGCAACATCGTCGCAGAGAACCACTTTTGTGTTCCACCTGTTCTCTACAATCCAAATTGAGTCAAATGGAACTGTTTTAAACATACAATGTAGAGATGTAGATGTGATACATGTGGTTGATGTACTTAAGGCATGCCTATGTTTTGAGTCTCCAGTACCCGAGCACCTACAATTCGATCCCTAGACTCGATTGAAACCTAACTCTTAGGCGGATCGTTCTCTCCTTACCACATATACCACACCTAGTTCCTCCATTGTATCTTCTTAAAATGAAATGATCAGATAGTGATAAACCATCTGATTAAAAACTCTTAACACATGCATATATAGACAATATTATCTCTCTCAAGTGTCTATATGATAGTTTTTTTTTTAAATAATACCATTAGATATATACTATTACTATCTGATTAAGCTTTCTTACTTTCAACACCTAGATTTCCAACATAGAGAACCCCTCTAAACCAAACCAAATCACTCCAACCTCTTGATGTTGCCGGCACGGCACAAGAGATATCCGCAGCTGGTAATAGACAGTTGGCCAGTAAAACGCTGCCTGTTCTCGCCGGAAATATCTGCCAATCATACCGTGGAGACGTCGTCGTATCGCTAACGGCCTCCAGGTTTATCTCGAACAGATCATCTTCGCTGTCTTCTTCACTACTTCCCTCGCCATCGCGTTCTGGTTCTTGTTTCTCCTCTTCCTCTGTTCCCCGGTTAACCAAACCAACACAACGTGTCATTGTTGATTCTGAAATAATTTTCGTTTTAAGAATCCTTTGTGGTTGAAATGTGATTATGTTGTTAATACGTATATATAAAGGTGATTGGAGGAGAAGATGGGTTAGTGGAACGGTACTCAACGAATCTACAACTATCTTTGTTGGGAATTTTTGGGTCTTAACATGCACAATAAATTCCAAAAGAAATTTGTTAATAGACTCGTGACTTGAGATTGAGAATAATAATTTTTGAGATTGAGTACAATAAATGTTCCGGTGCAACAGTCACTGTTTAGATAACTATCTTAATAGATAACTATATATATATAGAGTAATCCATTGTCTCTCTCCTCTATTTTAGAGGGAACTCTATTTTAGAGTAATCCATTGGAGCAAAATCTCCTCTAAAATAGAGTTCCTCTAAAATAGAGGAAAATATAGAGGAGACCATTGGAGATAGTCTTAGCTACTTCCGAATAAATGTATGTTTAGGACTTGGGAGGAAATGATGATTTTTTTATTGCTAAGTTTTTTGTTTGTCCACCCAAAAATATAGACATCGGCATTGGACCTTTTGTAGCAATATTATCTATAGCACCACATCCCATCGAATTCCACAAACCGGTTCAAAATATTGAATCCTAGGCTTTATTTACTCTAACTGCGTCAACGACATCATTGTCAAAACTAAATGATAAAATGTATTTATTGTTAGTATAAAAGGTTTTCTAGAGGAGAAGGTACACCTAACGCGAATCAAATATATACCTACCAACATTTATATACGTATTTTTTTGTGACGAATAATATTCATTCTTGTGGTTTATAAACTTTGCAAAATAAATAAATTTCCTCAGTTGTTTCGGGTCTGATTTTCTATTTTGGTTGCGCGAAAGTAACTTTCTTCTTTTTCTAATTTAATTTAAACGTAGATTAATAATCAACGGATTACGTGGCTTAAGGAAATTCACATCTAACTCCTACTACATTGGGGTAAACACAAACAAAACAAGAAACGACCAAAGTTGCAAGTAAACCAAACAAAATCTAACCTGAGCGTTAATTATAGACCAAACCTCTCTCTCTTCTCTCGCTTCTCTCGCTTCTCTCGCTTCCCCAGCTACTTCTCTCTGTCTCTCTCTCGTTTCTTTATTGGCAATGGCTACTGGATCAACAGATTCCCCCAGGTCTCCTTCCTCAGGTTTGATCTTTTGCCTCTTCCATTTTAATTTCGCCCATTAGATTTTGAAATTTCCTTCTTTTTTTTTGTTGTCACTAACAAAGAAAAACCCATGTGGAAAAATTTCTCAAAAAACCAGAGACGAAGATTCCAGTTTTGTAGTTCTTGAATTTTGTCCAAAATAGAGTCAGAAAAACAAAGACAAAAAAGTTCCAGAATTGGAGCATCTGATGTGAAATGATATGATTACTGTTGTTGAATTTATAGACAATGCATTTAATGATGGCTTTGAATCTCACATAATCATAGCTTTAGATTTCTTTTCTTTAAACAGAAGAACCAATATAAATCACTCTAGAGCCATTCCCTCTCAAACCAAATCAATCCTGCCCCTTTTTTTGTGGAATTTGATTGGTTTTTAAGTGAGATAGACTGATAGTAAGTAGAAACATGTTACAGGTTCATGATTTGCTTATGTTCGGTTTTATGTTGCAAGAATATTTCTTTGAGGAATTTTAATAAGTGCCCATGAGTGAGTTTAGTCTTGCGCAACTTTCTTGCCCTTGAAGATTTCATTTTAGAGACAGGACAATAATCTCTGTTTGTGTGAATCTTATTACAGGTGTTCTCCAGAAGTTGTTATTAGGATTCTTTGTCTGTATAGCTGCTTCGACTTATAAGGCAATCCAACCTCCTCCTCCAAAGCTATGTGGCTCTCATGATGGTCCATCCATCACAGGACCGAGGATTAAGCTAAGAGACGGAAGGCATTTGGCTTACAAAGAGCATGGAGTTCCCAGAGATGAAGCTACCCATAAAATCATTGTTGTCCATGGATCTGATAGTTGCAGGCACGATAATGCTTTCGCAGCTCTACTCTCACCGGTACTTTAAAACCCCCTCTTGTGATGAAGCTTCAGTAATTGCTTCGCTAGTTGCTCCAGTTGAAAGATGTAAAATTTTTGATATCAATGTTTGTAGGATATAAAAGAAGGACTTGGTGTGTATATGGTTTCATTTGATAGACCTGGCTATGCAGAGAGTGATCCAGACCCAAACCGCACTCCTAAAAGCTTGGCTTTGGACATTGAAGAGCTTGCTGATCAGTTAAGTCTAGGAACCAAGTTCTATGTCATCGGTTACTCAATGGGAGGACAAGCTACATGGGCATGCCTTAAATACATTCCTCACAGGTATCACTTTCAGAACTAACATAGTTCTTGAAGGGAATGATTTTGATGAAAATGTGTGAATGTCTCTGTTTGATTCTTTAGGTTGGCTGGAGTAACGCTAGTTGCTCCAGTGGTGAACTATTGGTGGAAGAATTTTCCATCAGAGATCTCAACAGAAGCTTTTAACCAACAAGCGAGAAATGACCAATGGGCCGTTCGTGTTGCACACTATGCTCCTTGGCTTACTCATTGGTGGAACTCTCAGAATTGGTTCCCTGGATCAAGTGTTGTGGCCCGCAATCTCGGTATGTTGTCCAAATCAGACAAAGAGATCATGTTTAAGCTCGGTGCTGCAAGGAGGCAACATGAGGTATATTGTATACAACATTCTTCATCACTTCCTTCTTTTTTTTTCTTCACATAATTGCATTCATCAAATCCAAGTCTCTATGCAGGCACAAATAAGGCAACAAGGAACACACGAGACATTACACCGTGACATGATTGTTGGATTCGGAACTTGGGAATTCGATCCGATGGAGCTCGAGAATCTGTTCCCGAACAATGAGGGATCAGTGCACTTGTGGCAGGGAGATGATGATGTACTTGTCCCTGTAACTCTGCAACGTTACATTGCACAGAAGCTTCCATGGATCCATTACCATGAGATTCCTGGAGCCGGACATTTGTTCCCATTTGCTCCAGGTATGGTTAATAACATCGTTAAAACTCTCTTAACCAATGATGGAGTGAAGAACTAAACTCTTATCTTCTCTCTCAAAAAGATAGCTAGTTTGGTTTTGTGACATGATTATTGATTACTATGATACTTTGAACCGGGATCAGAGAGATTCTCAAGTTTCTTTTGTTGTTGATATATTTTGTGGGTGATTTTTAATCACTAAGGGCCCAATATAAATATTCAGTTGAACTAATACAGTAAACAATGGCCCATAAGAAAAGTTAAATTAATTAAAACACATCATATTAATTAGCATCAATCCGACCTTAGCTCAGTTGGTAGAGCGGAAGACTGTAGTAGTTGCTGTAATCTTTAGGTCGCTGGTTCGATTCCGGCAGGTTGGATTTTTTTTTAATTATTTTTGCTAAAATTATAAGATAAAATGAAGATAATTTAAATATATAGTACTTGATTAATTTAAGAGGCCCTTGCATGTTTATAAACATTTTAAAATGGCTAAACCTTGTTCGTAGAAGTGACTAGTCCACGTGCACTCCCAAGGGAAGGTTGGAAACTTGGAATCATGATTTTTTGTTAAGTTAAATAAAATGTCTTCAGAAAAAAAAAAAAAGTAAAAAAGGAAGAGGATAATTTCTCGGCTTTGTTTTTTTTTTTGTTCTGTAATAAGTTTTTGTCACTAAACGCAATTCTATTCAAAATCGAACAAGTCTACTTTCACCAACTAAAAAGCTCAACGCCAAACAAGTGTTTACAAACTTTGACTATTACTTTCATAACATTTTGAATCTAACCTAAATATGTTTTACCAAAGTAAAACAGTATTGATCAATCAAACTAATCCATCAATTTTCACAAAACAATCATGAACCACACTAAAAGAAGATCACACTTTAATTCGCTCTTGGAATCCAAATTTCACGTTCTTATATGCGTAAAAGAGAAAAATCATGTCAAGTTTCTTAGACGTAAAACAACATTTGTGTAGCCGAAGTCACACGTGTCGAGCCTGTGAGAAGACACTCCAAGAAACAGAAGAGAGACACGTGCAGAACACGTGTCGTCGGCAGCCGAACCGATTCTTTGCCTCTGATCATGGGCCTGGACCTGGACCTCTCTAAGCTGGTAATTCATTGGTCGAAAGATGACTTTAGACAAAAGATGTTGACCTTCACGCCTCTCTTCTTAGACTCCACGCGCCACACCTTCTCACGGTGAGAACATAAATACAATCTCTCTTTTACCGCCTCTCACACATTTATCTCTCTCTCTCAAAACTTTTCAGTCAAACTTCTCCGGCGGCTTTTAAACTATGTGAAAGGAGGAGAACCTCCAAATAAAGAAGCAATCTCTCACTTTCCCGGCGGCGGAGGACGGTTTTGGATACACATATTTCATTTTCAGGTTCTTACTTTTCTTGTTATATTCAAGATCTTGGATTAGAAGAATTTATTTATGTTTAGTTAATTAAGTTTAGTTAAAATACCATTAATACCTTTCTGGTCTTTTATCTGCGTATCACCAGATATTAATTTTGGCTGTTTTTAAAGTGTATCAAACATGAAAGAAAGTGATTCTTTGTAATAGTCGGATTTAAGGATAAGTGAAGCTAATAATTAATTTATTTTAGTACTATTATTAGATTAAGCTCTAGATTATCTTTTAGCTAAAACCGAATACGGTTCATATGTTGATAAGTTCGCTTTAAGAGGAAAACGAGTGGGGTATGATATTTTCCTCTTTTGGAAACGAAACCTTTATTGAAATGAGTAATTAATTATTTGTTTATTTATTGCTAAATTTAGTATCGTTTGTCGCTGTCACGATGTGGACCGTTCTTCTTTATTTTCACGTGGACCGACTTAATTACCTTTTTGATTCTTTCTCTTTTTGACGTCATTTAAATCCCCATTATCTTTACCAAAATAATCTACAGTAATCTCGATTTCTTTATTCTATATTTTATATTCTGTTTGTTAAGTGATGTTTTAATTTTCGAATTTTGTTCTTAAATAGATGATATTTTTAATTTTTAATGCAAAATTAATTACATTTTAATTGGTTTTGACGATTTATATTTTGTGAATTGTTTTTTATTGGTTGATTAGATTTATAATAATGTTTTAGTTTAAAAATAAATTAAATGATTGTTTAATCTATGTGCATTCTCCTAAAGCATCACTTATACAAAAAAACGGAGGGAATATTTATTTTGTTCTTTGAGCATTTACTATTAATTAGTTTCATTGTCTTTTTATAAGTGAGCTTTGTGAATAGTTGAATGGAGACAAGTATCTGAAGTTTGGTCAAAATAATACGATGTTTTTAATATATAAGAGACAAAATAAATGGTTATTGTCGTTTAGGTGATATCTCCATATAACCATATTTCATTATTGTTTGTGTGAATACAGATATTAAAAATGGTCATTGTTGTGTATATATGCAGTTGTTAAATGGTAACTAGAGAAACGAAGTTGATGTCAGAGCGAGAAGTGGAGTCGTCGATGGCGCAAGCGAGACATAATGGAGGAGGTGGTGGTGAGAATCATCCGTTTACTTCATTGGGAAGACAATCTTCTATCTACTCATTGACCCTCGACGAGTTCCAACATGCTCTCTGTGAGAACGGCAAGAACTTCGGGTCGATGAACATGGACGAGTTTCTCGTCTCTATTTGGAACGCAGAGGAGAATAATAACAATCAACAAGCAGCAGCAGCAGCCGCAGCTTCACATTCTGTTCCGGCTAATCACAATGGTTTCAACAACAACAACAATGGAGGCGAGGGTGGGGTCTTTGGTGGTGGTTCTAGGGGCAACGAAGAGGCTAATAATAAGAGAGGGATAGCGAAGGAGCCTAGTCTTCCTCGACAAGGCTCGTTGACACTTCCAGCTCCGCTTTGTAGGAAGACTGTTGATGAGGTTTGGTCTGAGATACATAGAGGTGGTGGTACTGGTGATGGTGGAGAAAGCAATGGACGTAGTAGTAGTAGTAATGGTCAAAACAATGCTCAAAATGGCGGTGAGACTGCGGCTAGACAACCGACTTTTGGTGAGATGACACTTGAGGATTTTTTAGTGAAGGCTGGTGTGGTCAGAGAACATCCCACTAACCCTAAACCTAATCCAAACCCGAACCAAAACCAAAACCCATCTAGTGTTATACCCGCAGCTGCGCAACAGCAACTATATGGTGTGTTTCAAGGAACCGGCGATCCTACATTCCCAGGACAGGCTATGGGTGTAGGTGACCCATCAGGTTATGGTAAAAGGACAGGAGGAGGAGGGTATCAGCAGGCGCCACCGGTTCAGGCAGGTGTTTGCTATGGAGGTGGTGGTGGGTTTGGAGCGGGTGGACAGCAAATGGGGATGGTTGGACCGTTAAGCCCGGTGTCGTCAGACGGGTTAGGACATGGACAAGTGGATAACATAGGAGGTCAGTATGGAGTGGATTTGGGAGGGCTAAGGGGAAGGAAAAGAGTAGTGGATGGTCCAGTGGAGAAAGTAGTGGAAAGAAGGCAGAGGAGGATGATCAAGAACCGTGAGTCTGCTGCGAGGTCTAGAGCAAGAAAACAAGTAAATATAGACCTTTTCATTTATTTTATAATGTTTCTTGTAGAAGAAAAAAGCTAATGTTTGTGTTTGTTGTTGTTGTTGTTTTGGGAAGGCATATACAGTGGAATTGGAAGCTGAACTGAACCAGTTGAAAGAAGAGAACGCGCAGCTAAAACATGCATTGGTATTTTACTCATCTTGTTAAAGAGTTTAGTCCTTTGTGAAGTTGATTGTAACAATTAGCCTTTGTTATGTTTTCATCAGGCGGAGTTGGAGAGGAAGAGGAAGCAACAGGTAAAAAATCCTAAATGAGTATGCATTTCTAAGATGGTTGCAGTATTTTGGTCAGAAGAAAACTACAATGGTCGTTGGTTTTATGGTTGCAGTATTTTGAGAGTTTGAAGACAAGGGCACAACCAAAATTACCAAAATCGAACGGGAGATTGCGGACATTGATGAGGAACCCGAGTTGCCCACTCTAAACAAACAATAGGAAGATGAAGAAGTCGGAGACAGAACGAGGGAGCGAAACTGATGATTTCTACGTTCTTGTTTTGTCTTTGAAGAATGAGGTTATAGAATCTTTATACTTTGATGTTTTCTATGTTGGTAGGAGGAACACCATCTGATCTTCTTTACTAGTGTTCCTTATGAACAAGAAAGTGATTCTGTGTTTCAACATCATCAATCTTTGGAAAATATGACGAGTGTTATGCTCACTAGATCCTCTGCAGTATCAAAAAGACTCTTTTAACTTGGAATGATACAATGTGCAAGAAAAAAGATACTCAGGACACAAGAAGTCAGATAGTTCAACCTAGTTCGACAAGAGAAATTACTTAAACCAAACTCTAGATAGATCAAGATTCAAACTACATCAGAGTGCTGCGTTTTTTAACATTCAGTAACAACTAGAGAGAAACAGAGATAGAGCAAGAAACTAAGTAGAGGTGAGAGAGAGAGCGAGAGTTATTTTGAACCGTAGTCATACTTTAGTACGAAAAAAAAAAAAAAAAAGGCTAAATGAACATAAATGGTAATACAATAGTTTTCGTCTTTTCGAGCTATTAGAAGATTAGTTGAAGTCATAAGAAATCCAGAATACGTAGACACCAAACCCATTTTTCACACACACTTATTATCACCCACCAAAAATTCGAGAATTCCAAATTTGTGCCAAGTTTTTCCAGAGAGAATGAAGACGTCCAAGCAAATTTGTTAAAAGTTAATATGTAAAGAGCTATTGTAGTTTATATAATTTGCTGACAAGTCTAAGAATTTTTTAGGCCTGGTATGCCCGAAAGAATTAGTATCAGTACTATATAAGTTGTATTAAATATGGGATGAAGAAACGATCTAGCTTCAAGAAAAAGTCTTAATTAACATACATAATAACTATCAGGTGTCAACGCTCTCATCTTTTTTTCCATGAGTCCCTAAGTAATAACTCCTCCAAGGCTACGATCATATTTACAGGCGGAAAATTGTTGTGTTTGATTTCTTTCTTATTTCCTTCTTACTCTAAGCCTCTGGTTATATCGCATCTTTTTTGGCAGAAAATCTAATCGCAAATTAAACAGGAGATTATAATTAAGCAACATGTCAAATTGTTATGAAACATTTTATATCATAAAACATTTATTTGGTATAGTATAATATAAAACAAAATGTCAAAACAATATCAATGTCATAATATGTGCTCATTATGTTGAGTTGAGTCAAGGCATTTACTTGTAAGAACACTTCAATAATTATAGTTAACAATTTATGTGTATTCTTATGTATGATACAAGGTTTGGTGTTGTATATATTTATCCAAATCCCTTGAATTTTAGTTGGGTCAAAATAACGACATTAAAATTATAATACGTCGTTGCGATATAAAAATTGGTACAATTTGGATGCAACGTAGAGAGATTAGCGAGACATTGGGTGGATCGTGCAATTCATTTCTGTTTTGTCAACTTGCAATTCATTTTTCATGGAATCAAATTATGGCGACATTACTCAATATATTACACAAAAACTAATAAACTATGTCTTCTGGCTTCAAATAGAATAAATAAAAGTCATTGAGTTTGCCCTATAAATGACCCTATGCTTTCAAGTAGTTAGCTACAAGCTCATCAATCTCTGCTGTCTGCTCTATTGAAAGAAGAAGAAGCAAACACAAAACAGCAACAAAGAAAAATGGCAAAGCTCATCATTAACTTCTTTGCACTCTTGATGATCGTCTTGTTGGTTTCTCATGGTAATTTTAACTTCCTTTGTCCTAATTAAGATATTATTATTATTGATTTGGATGAGGAGAGATTAATGTGAGAATGGTTTACACAGGACTCCCGAAGGCTGAAGCCCAAACATGCTTAAAAGGTGAAGCTCAGAAGGGTGTATGTGTTGAACTTGACGGCGCTACATTGTGTGATCTTCTTTGCAAGGCAAGCAACACAACTTGGTTTGGGAAATGTGAAGTGGAAGACAAGGAAACGCACTGTCACTGCTACGGACCTTGTTAAATACAAATCTGAAAGGTGAATAATTGTGCATCAGTACCGATGTGTGTGCTTTGCTTATGATCAATGTCACATATCTAAATGTGTGTTCCATGTTTGTGTGTTTTATTTTATGGCTTTCAATAAATTTGCATCAGCACCGTATTGATGCTCAATCATTGTAAGATTGAATCTGTATTTTATGTTTGCTTTTGGTGTTGCATTACGCCTATGTCCTCTTCTTCTTTTTCACTCTTGTCATATATATATATATATATATATATATATATGTGTGTTTACGACTATCCGCAACCTTTAAGGGGATGCAGAGTAACGTATACGATATTGCCAAGAGTTCGATAAATTATTGTGAATGTTAGAAACCTAGCTAGCCTTTTTTATCCGTTGAGTCAATCAAATTAAATTACCGAAGGCAAAGAATCTTTAGTATGAATTTTTTCTCATGAATTAATCAATCAAATAATCAAAAAATGAAAAAAAAAAAAAAAAGCCAACGTGGGTTGGGCTAGTGGTACTTGAGGGGTAATCCCAATATGGTACCCGCAGTTCGATTCCCGTTGGCCACCGAGGTTTTCACCTGGCCTCCTCGGGGCTCCAGAAAACACACTAAGCGTTGGGCTCGGACGGTCCGAAAGGGAACCGACCTCAAGCCTTGGTGCTAGTCGGGCTTCGGTCCGGATACCTGGATTATAAAAAAAAAAACATGAAAAAAAGAATGAAAGCTAATGAGTCCTATTTACTACACCAAAAATCTACTGCCTCTATAGATTTCTCTACCTAAACTTAAAAAGAAGTATCCAATGAGTTTGCTATTCTCACCACCATTTTTTTCTTTCTTGTAAATTCAAGGGATGACCTTAAGTCCTTAATCTATGATAAAAAAATTTCCAACTATGTAATGTAACCAGTAACCACCACATTTTTCTTCTTAAAAGTCATTTAGCAAATTTACACCAAAATAAAAAAAAATCAATGAAAGTTGAAGTACATGAAATGAAATTTAAATTATAATCATTTTCTTCAAGTTTTTCACGTCCCAGTTAATTTTTTTTACCAGCACAAACATAACAGTGATAAATTAAAAAAAAAAATTAAGAACAAAAGCATTTTTAATTTTATTTTTTATATTGGTGTGGGGGTTTAATGAATTGAGATATTTAGTCAGAAAACACCAAAACCCTCCTCCGTTCCAGACCTTGAGCTTCCTTGTTCTATTCACTCCCAACTCTTCTTCTGCTACTCTCAGGTTTCTCTTCTCCACTTTTGTCTCTCCAGCTTTATCCTTTGATTTCATTCTCTTTGAGTTTCTCTGTCTTACAGTATTACCCAAAAATCGAAGCTTTTTTTCTCCATTTCTTAAATTTGTTTTCATGTAATGCTGCAAACTTCGCTATACCCATCTTCAATTTCGTCAATTCGTAATGGCGAAAAGCATTTTAATTTAGTTTGGGTTTTGTGGTTTCTCACTTGTTTCAGTCTTCTAGTCTTAAATCATCCACTAATTCTCAATTTCTGTGGATTTGATATCTATTGCTGGGTTAACAATGGAGCATAGATGCAACTTGGTTTTGTATATGTTATCTTTAAGAATGTAGATTACACTGCTTTGTGGCTACTTTGTGTTTTACTTTGTGGCTGAATCATATAACTCTAAATTGAGAGCTTTGGGTTTGACTTCTTTAGCCTTTTATGAACAGGTCTTTGGTTCTGGAGTTTGTAAATTCCTGCAGTGGTTGGTCTCAGTATGGCAACTTACGTTTCACCGTGTTTCACTCCTTCGGATTCTCGGTTGCTAACTGTTCTTAGAAAGAATGTATTACCGGAGAATCATTTAGGCAGGGTTAACTCCATTAGAATGATTGAGAGTAAGAAAAACCGACTTGTTGCTGCTGCTGCTCAGAAATCTGAATCTTCGCCAATCAGAAACTCTCCACGGCATTTCCAAAGCCAAGCTCAAGATCCTTTCTTGAACCTTCACCCGGAAATATCGATGCTTAGAGGTGAAGGGACCAGTACAATAGTCAATCCAAGGAAGGAAACGTCTTCTGGACCTGTTACTGAGGATTTTGAAGAGCCGTCTGCTCCGAGTAACTACAATGAGGCGAGGATTAAAGTTATTGGTGTGGGAGGTGGTGGATCAAATGCTGTGAATCGTATGATAGAGAGTGAAATGTCAGGCGTGGAGTTCTGGATTGTGAACACTGATATCCAGGCTATGAGAATGTCTCCTGTTTTACCTGATAATAGGTTACAAATTGGTAAGGAGTTGACTAGGGGTTTAGGTGCTGGAGGAAATCCAGAGATCGGTATGAATGCTGCTAGAGAGAGCAAAGAAGTTATTGAAGAGGCTCTCTATGGCTCAGATATGGTCTTTGTCACAGTATGTCCTCAAATATTTGTTATTTCTATTGCATTTCGTTTTTCTTAGTTATAAACTTTGATCGTAGAAAAAGACGTTTCAAACCAGTTTATAAGGTTTTAGTCTGTGTTATCTCTCAATCACTTATCAGGTAGTTCTTGTCTCTATCTGTCCGAAATAGTGAGTATATGCTGCTCGCATGTCTTCGTCATTTTGTAGGCTGGAATGGGTGGTGGAACTGGCACTGGCGCAGCCCCTGTAATTGCAGGAATCGCCAAGGCGATGGGTATATTGACAGTTGGTATTGCCACAACGCCTTTCTCGTTTGAGGGTCGAAGAAGAACGGTTCAGGCCCAAGAAGGGCTTGCATCTCTCAGAGACAATGTTGACACTCTCATCGTCATTCCAAATGACAAGTTACTTACAGCTGTCTCTCAGTCTACTCCGGTAACGGAAGCATTTAATCTAGCTGATGATATACTCCGTCAGGGGGTTCGTGGGATATCTGATATCATTACGGTATAGCTTTTTAATGAACTTCCTGTGATCATTTTTATGTATGGTAAATGATTTATCAGCTGTCTTTGCTTTGTAGATTCCTGGATTGGTGAATGTGGATTTTGCTGATGTGAGAGCTATAATGGCGAATGCGGGGTCTTCATTGATGGGAATAGGAACTGCAACAGGTAAGTTTGGAATGATAGATAAGCTCATTTAGCTACATAATTTCATAAGCAGAACCACTAGTCACTAGATATGTGTCGAAATAGTCTAATTGAACTAATGAGATAGTAGATTTGGTGTGGCAAAGAAACCAGTCTAGTGAGTGGGATACTGAAAATGACCATTTTATATTCACTGGTACTCAACTATTGTGCATCTATGTCATGAACCTGAACTTCTTTTGCGCGAGGTTTTGTTTTGTTTGCAACATGCTGATTCTTTCATGCTACTTGTAACCATGCAGGAAAGAGTCGGGCAAGAGATGCTGCTCTAAATGCGATCCAATCACCTTTGTTAGATATTGGGATTGAGAGAGCCACTGGAATTGTTTGGAACATTACTGGTGGAAGTGACTTGACATTGTTTGAGGTTTTTCTCTCATCTTTGTTTCTTATCTCATCGTCGATAGATCCATAAACGATAATTGGATCTTGAGAGACGCATTGACAGGGTGTAGAAATCATTTATTTTCTTCCTTCCATAGACAACTTAGAGCAAAGCCTGATTTTGCTTCATACCCCTAAGATGCGCTATAGTTTTTCATACACTTTGGTCTTTGTGTAGGTAAACGCTGCTGCGGAAGTAATATATGATCTTGTCGATCCAACTGCCAATCTTATATTCGGTGCTGTTGTAGATCCAGCCCTCAGCGGTCAAGTATGTCCTTTTTGATGTGTCTTCTACTAAACATAGATAAGACCTCTAGAGATTATATAATTGATGTCTTTTTGTTTTGGTAAAAGGTAAGCATAACCCTGATAGCTACGGGTTTCAAACGACAAGAAGAGGGAGAAGGACGAGCGGTTCAGATGGCACAAGCAGATGCTGCGTCAGTTGGAGCTACAAGAAGACCCTCTTCCTCCTTTAGAGAAAGCGGTTCAGTGGAGATCCCGGAGTTCTTGAAGAAGAAAGGCAGCTCTCGTTATCCCCGAGTCTAAGCCCGATCTAATCACTATACTGCACACTGCAGCAATAACAAACGTGTGTGTACTGGTACTGCCTTCTCTCTCGGATACAGCAAGATGTTTTGATGTATGATCAAGAATCTGTGTGGGTGTGTATATGCTCTCTCTCTGTCTCTGCCTCTGGTCGTGTTCTTGAATAGGTTGTTTTAGAAATCGGAGTTCTCTCTATGTCACTTCCCAAACAAAAAAGGAGAAGAAGAATCACACTTCTCAAACCATAAACATATAACATTATGAGAGTTTTAGCAGAGTATTGTTGTCATTTTTCATTCAGTAAAAAAAAATTCAATAGCGATATTACCAGCAATCACTAGAATACACTTATATAAACAGTAAACAACTGTGACTTGTGAAAAAAACTAAGAACATAATCACTTGAAAGAACTCCCACTAATCATGCGTCGATTATATCTCTACAATTGTTAACATATGTGGTTTCTGTTGAACTAGAGGATTGGTAATATATTGCATCTTCACGATACTTTTTTCATTTTTAGCTCGTTTTTATGCTGCCGATTTTACTTTGTGTATTGTGTGGTTCTCTACTGCATAGCTCCATGGGGCAATGTACATCAATTAAATAAAGAACCCAACTTGGTTTCCATTTCATATTGTCAAAATAAAATTTGTTGATGCATAGATATAGCTTGGGTCTAATTTACACAGGTTACGACATCCGGACTTGCTTCCTTGAGAATTTTCCAGAGCAGGACAAGCCATCCATCAATCTATTATATGTAAAGATATCAGGCAACATATCTTTATCCAACATCTCGTTCACTAAAACTTCTCCTTCCTTTCTTCTCCCTTCTTTTGTGAATCCCGAAACCAAAACATGGTACGTTGTCTCATCAGGTTCATATCCTTTGCTTGATGCCAAAAGTCTCAAACTGTTTGCATCAGTAGAACGATCAGAACTGCAGAGATCCCGAAGAAGCAAGTTAAATGTCACACTATCGGGAAGGATTCCTGCATTCATCATCTCTTCCATAAATCCTGATGCTTTCTCTGTTCTTCCTGATTTCCTCAACCCTTCTACGAGTGTAGTACAAGCAATGAAACATGGGGTTTTGCCTTTCTTCCACAGCTCCTCCACCATCTCCATTGCTCTATCCGCCTTGTTTTCTCCACAGAGTTTCTCAACTAAACTACCATAATCAAACCCACTCGGTAAAACCCTACTGTTCGAAAGATCGATCACCAATCCACAAGCATCGTCAACCCGACCTTCTCTACACAACCCATCAACCAGAATCTCACAAGTAGCTTCTGAGAATCTACAACCTATCTCAATCATCTCATAAGCCATTTTGATACCTTCCTCGATTTTACCCCTGCTCAAAAACCCTCTAATCAGAGTGTTGAAGCTAACCACATTCGGTTCACAACCTTTCTCCTTCATCTCCCTGAACAAATCTAATGCCAAATCAAACTTAGAGCTTCTACAATAACCATTGATGAGGGTGTTAAACGTGCATACATCTGGCTTTGCTCTTTCCTTTCCCATCCTCTGGTAAAACCTTAAAGCCTTATCCATATCTCCAGATTTCACATATCCATTCACAACAGTGTTATAAACTCCAACATTTGGTTTACCATCGATCAATCTCTTCATAGTATCAAACGCTAACAACGCATAATCCATTTTCCCAGCTCTACAATACGCATCAATGGCGGATCGGAAAATAGGTTCAAGCTCTGGACAAGAGAAGATACCTGAAGAACAAGGACATGGATTCGCCGCTACGAAAGAGAGGAGACGATATAGATCGTGAAACCGGTGCGTGGCGGCGAGTGATCTCGACATCCAGAGGAAAGAATCGTGATCATGGCGGAAAGTGTCGAGCGTAGCTGCCCAATTGAAGACGGCGAAGTCATAATGAGCGTAGAGCGGATGATGACGGAGCTTAGAACGGAGGAATCCGAGGAGATTTTGTGGAGTTAGGGTTTGATGGTGAGGGATGTTGTTCTCGAGGAAATTGACGAAATTGGAGTGTTTGGGAGATGGAGAGAGAGTTAGAGTCGGAGGAATTGAGATCTCCGGAAGCTTTGGTGGAGGATTAGGTATTCGGTAAATCTCCGGTGACGGCGGCGTAATCGGCGCCGGGAGATGATTGGACTTGGAAACGAGATTGATAGCGTTCTTCTTGTTCCATCGCATCACTCTCTGTTTTGCCAAACCAATAATTAAAAAAAAAAAAAATCCCAAGCTTTATCGATTTTGGTTTTAACCAAACCGGTTTAAACCGATTTCTAAACCCTAGAAAATCTAGAACCAGAAACGTCACTGGTGATTACAACAGTTCCAGTTCCAAAGATGAGAACTTTGAGCTCCCAATTATTGTACTCCAATGATGGTCTCGCTTGGTTCCAAAAGAAGAACCAAAGCTCTCTGTTTAATCATCATCTCAGAATCTCTAAACCATCGAGGGTTCAGCTCATATCTGCTGTTCAATTCAGACCTTGCATCGACATTCACAAGGTATCAAATCAAATTCACCGATTTGAAAAATCCTCACTGGTTAAGTAAAAGTGAATCCTTTTATGGATCTTTCTCTTTGTGATGTGATTTTCGATAGGGAAAAGTGAAACAAATAGTTGGATCCACACTCAGTGACTTGAAAGAGGAAGGTTCGGTTCTTGTAACGAATTTTGAATCGGACAAGTCTGCAGAAGAATATGCAAAGATGTACAAAGAAGATGGTCTTACGGGTGGTCATGTGATAATGCTTGGAGCAGACCCTTTAAGCCAAGCTGCAGCTATTGGAGCATTACATGCTTATCCAGGTTTGTCTTTAGATGAATGTCAAATGGTGTTTGTTTTATACTGTTTGAATATGAAATGTAGAGTTTTGATGTGTTATTTATGATTCAAGACGCTGAATTTTAGGCGGTTTGCAAGTTGGAGGTGGAATCAATTCTGAGAATTGCTTGAGTTATATTGAGGAAGGAGCAAGCCATGTCATTGTCACTTCGGTATAGCCGTCATCTAGCTCGATTGAATATGTTATCATAGTAAGTATAGCTGATGGTAATCATGTTTCTGTTTAGTATTTCAGTATGTATTTAACAATGGAAAGATTGATCTTGAACGACTCAAAGATCTTGTGAGCATTGTTGGGAAACAAAGACTGATATTGGACCTTAGCTGCAGAAAGAAGGTGATTCTCTGACCAGTTTCATCTTCAGCTAAATGTTATTCTGTCGTGAAAAAGATCCACATTTGAGGTATTGATATGGTAATTTGTTGCACAGGATGGGAGATACGCAATTGTTACTGATAGATGGCAGAAGTTCAGCGATGTCATCCTTGACGAGAAATCACTGGAGTTTCTTGGAGGGTTTGCAGATGAGTTTCTGGTGCATGGCGTAGACGTTGAAGGAAAGAAGTAAGCTTATAAATCTCATCGCTGTGATTTCAGTGTCTTAGAGGAAATTCGTTTTGCGTTCAGTATGTACTGATCAGTGGTGGAAATAATTCATCTCTCAAAGGCTAGGGATCGATGAAGAGCTTGTGGCATTGCTTGGCAACTATTCTCCGGTGAGTAATAACACATGCATTTTCTTGATTGAATATTATAGAGGCTCTAGACTGTCTTGTTCTTATCAAGGTGCTTTATTTTTCAAATGACTTGGAACTAATCTTACCAACCTACGGTAATCAGCAGAATTCTACTCTTTTCAGCAAACTTGTGATGCTATAGATGCTTAATAAAACCGGAATTAGATTGGATGGGTTATGCTTCATTGGAGATATAGAGATAGGCTGAGAACTAGGATTCGTAGAGAAAGCTCGATTGCAGAATTGTTCATTTGGGCTTCATGATCTCAGATGTTTAATTTGACCTTGACAGATTCCGGTAACTTATGCTGGAGGTGTGACAGTGATGGATGATGTAGAGAGGATCGAAGCAGCAGGAAAGGGACGTGTGGATGTAACAGTGGGAAGTGCCTTAGACATTTTCGGGGGAAATCTTCCATACAAAGACGTTGTCGCTTGGCATCACAAGCAGCTCTCACTCCAGTAATATCGCCATTTTCACTTTGGCTCTTTTTTTATTTGCACTACCCCAAACTTTAATCTTCAATTTTTGCAACATTAGTCTTCAGCTTAAACTTTCGTGCTTCTTTTCAGACTTAGACCTGTAAAATTATTCATATATGCATTTTTTTCTGATTTGATTGGCATAATTTTGGGGTATTACAATAAATTTTCAAGAATTTGTCAATTTTGAATATTTTTTCGATTAATCAAGTTTTATGGTTTGCCTACTACTTATCAAGGAAAATCGCATTCCAACAATAAAACGTAAATACAAAATACATTTTGTTTGACAAAATACGCATATAATATATAATAACATTTAAACTAACTATATACAACGGAAACTAGAAGAATACAAAAACAGAGCGGTGGGAGTGAAATCACCGCTTTCGCGTTGGCGTGTTTCTTTCTGAAAAAAACGTTGATCAGTTGCCACGTCATCACCAACGACTTTTCAAAACTTATAACCACCAAAATATTCAGACAAGACAACCAAAGTACTATTTCTACTTTCCCCCTGAGACTTAAAAACACTATATAACTGGACCCGATATGTATTACACTTGTCACACGCGCCACGTCAACATCCTCCACCAGCCAACAAATCCGCTCTTCTTCCAGATGCGAAACGCGTCATCCCACCCAAACCGGGTACCACCGGTTCTCCGCCGTCGAATGACGACTTCTCAACAGCTTCCACCGGAAGCCTGCTCCTGATGTCGTGTGTGTTACTTGGCGACGTGTGAGTCTCACGCGCTGACACGTCTTTGCAGCCGCCTTTGATCCTGAAGATGGCTCTGAAACTCGCCATAAACCCGGATTTCTTAACCCGGTTCGCCGGTTCGACCCGACTTGATTTTTGACGGTGCATACGGCGGCTGCGTTCTCTTCTGGATTTCACTCTACCGATGCAAGAGACTATAGGAGAAGAAGGTTCAAGAAACGAAGTATCCGTTTTTATTCGTGACCCGACCCGTTTCAGGATGACTCGGTTCTTGCCGCCGTGTCTCCGCTGCTTGGCCTCGTTGAAACACGTTTTCTGAGGTTTCGGTAAACCGATGATCGACGCTTTGGATTTTAGTAAAAACCGTTGCGAGCTTGGATTCGAGTTTGGATTGGAATTGAGAATCCCAGAGTTTCCTCTCTGTGAATCTTTACGATCAAAGAAGGCGTTGTCGCTGAGCCACTCGAGCTGAGCATCTTTTGACAAGAAATAAGATTCCGGTGGAAAATCACTCGGACTCACGGCGGAGTTGTTGTAATAAGGTGGGATCGTCTGGTCGTCGGCGAGGGTTTCGCATGCGATCTTCCGGTGATCGGAGCCACCGACACATACTGAAGAAACAAAGGCTTCTAGATCGACTTGTGGCATAGAGAGAAATTGTAATGTGAAAGCTTTTGATATTTTGTGAGAGAAATTAGAGGTGAAGACATGATAGATGCTAGTAGGGCTTTTTATATTAACAAAGGGAGCAATACTTGGGTTTCACCGTCAATCTTTTTATTCACCCTCTTTTATTTTAACCAATCAAAATTCGCCATATAATAAAATAAAAAAACTCATTTAGTTATTAAATCTAATCTTTAACTACTTTTTTATTAACGCAAACCGATTTATAATCTAGTTTGATTACAAAATATAAACCCTAATTCTCTTTTGTAAACTCAAACATATATTTAACCTCGTTTAATCATAAAATCTTTAATCGTACTTTTTAAATCCAAACCGACATTTAACTTCGTTTAGTTATAAAATCTAAATCCGTTTACTAATCCAAACCGATATTTAATTTCGTTTAATCATAAAATCTAAATTCTAACCCTTTCTAATAAACTTAAACCGATACAATTTTGTTTTAGTGGCAAATTAGATTTTATAATTAAATAAATTTTTTATTATTATTATTTGATAGCAGATTTTGATTGGCTTAAAATAAAAAGTGTGAATATATATAAGTTGAACCAAAGTATTTTTCTAACAAAGGCCAAAGGTTTTTTTTCAAATTTTATTTTTTTTTTGTTTTCTTATTGTTTGATTATGACTTGTGCTCTGAAAACTCGGAGGACTAAGAGTCGACGTAAGAAAACAATTTAAAAACCAGAAATATGCAACGAAAATTAATTGTATATACGATATACCTAAAGTGGATTTTTTTTAAAATGATATACAATATGATTTGAAAATTTTTAAGTGTTTTTTTTTTTTTTTTTTGAATGAATATAAAATTTATTCTAACCAAAAAACTTTGTTTACAATGAATGCATCTTTAAGTAGAGTTTTTATATGAGACCACAAGAAATAGTTGAGTCAGAACCGAAATGTTGCTTAGAAATCTTTAAGCTCTTGCCAAATTTCTCGAGCCAAACTAAATTTGCAGACCGTCCTTGAACTTAGAGTTAGCTTGTCGCGTAAAGCAGTGAAGTTATAAGAAGTAGAAACCTAACTAACTGACCTGCATTGTCCAGACACTGATAATACGGAAAAAAGATTTGTTGTAATCTGTAAAACAACAGTTTTTAAGATATTTATAAGATGGTTAGACAACGATTTTACAATAGAAAACCAAGAAAGATACTCCCTCTGTTCTTGAAAATTTGATGTTTTAGAGTTTACACATATATTAAGAAACAATCATGATTTAATCATTTAATAAATTTTTCTTTTTATTTAATATTTTTAATAATGTATGAACCAATAGTAATTTAAAACAGTTAATTATTTGTAATCATTACGCCTTGAAATCTACGATTTGTTAATATCAATTAATAAAAAATAAAATAAAAAGTTAGAAAATTAATCTTTGTGGAACAAACCTAAAACACTAAAAAATCAAATTTTCAGGAACGGAGGGAGTATAAAGTAGACCGGACCCATGCTAAATTACATTTTCCGGCTCAATCATTAATTATATTATGCAAATCAATTCATCTTGTTTTATTAGTTGATTGATTCATCTTAGATTGAAAAATTAACTTTGGACCATTGTGATTTTAAGCGTGTCTAACAACCGTGAATGGCTTAAATAACAAGAATTTATGTTGTAGCACTAACTTAGAAGACTGGTATGATCAGTTTCTGTTTAATGTCCCGTGATTTCTCAATATTTTTTTTAATGTTACACATACATATTTTTTAACGCATTATTTAGCCTATGATCGAAATATAATTGAAGATGCAAAATCAGTAGACCATACCCATATCATATGTACATGTCTAGTAGAATTGTGTATTATCGTTTTCCACAAAATTCAGGGAACCTAAAATAATAATATAATTACCTAAAACTGATCGATGCAATCGACTAGAAGTCTAGAACATTTGGCCTGTCCTGTGCAGTCCGACATATCACATTTCGGGGGTCCTATACACTTCGACTTACTATGACATTTCTTCCTCTCCTATGAAGAAATCACACTTTGACGTTGAAAATATTAGTCTCGATTGGTGACGTTGTATCGCTAGCTATAACATAGATCATTGTTGCGATCAAATGAAGGGTATATGCATCTTTTTTTTTGTTTTTTTTTTTTGAAATATGCATCTTTAGGCTTAGCATCGGCATCTTTAGTACCGTGTTATTACTTAATTCTTTTATATCGCATCATTTGATCAAATATAGAAATCATGCAAAAAAGCCAAAAACACAGACTAATTTAATTTTTTTTATAAAACTTTTCTAAAGCATATACAATGAAATACTGTTTAACAAGCCTTTCCATCCTCGTGTTCGCTTTCTATAAGTTTTTCTTCCATATTTTCCGAAATACTGGTCAAACTTTGAGGATTCGTTTTTCTTTCGTATCTTAAGAACTAATTAATCTAGAAAAATGTTTATGTGCTGACAAATATTAAATACTGAGTCAAACCCTTCTGGCTTATGGGCAGTTTATCGAATGCCCAACAGGGTTATTTACATGATGATCTCTACAGTAACCAGGAATATTAAACCACTACATATTTTTTCTAATTTCTCATACGTTGGCCATTTTCTTTTGCCATATAAAAAGGACAATGATTTTTCTTTTGAAAATTAGGTTAGAAAACAAGAGAATTGGCTACATACGGTTTTCGGGCTGATTCGATAAAGTCATTGACTAAGCTTACGTCATCTCTGATGAGAATTTAAGATAAGAGCGTCAAAGGATTTGAAACTTGTTTGCAGTCAAATGTCCAACCATTAGACTAATTAATAGTAATAAAGACGAGTATGAACTCGACCCTTTCTACGACACAATATGGTTTCTAGAAGTTCTCTTTGCCCTTTATCGATTAAAACCAGCTAGATAGTGATATTGTTTGTTTTTCTAAAAAACTTTATCCAAGAAGCATAGGTGGAAGAAAAAATACTATTTCGAGTGATATAGTGAATTCGTAATTTTTAAGTCACTGTTGAGCTCTCCACAGTTTCTAGAAGCTAAGTTATTTATTGCTTCTTCTAGTTGTCTTCGTCACGATTGACATATTTGACTAATTCAGTTCCCGCACAATGAACTATTTTTCAAAATTGGTTATGAATATCATTTCATTCGTCTACGTGTTTCAGTTGCCAAGAAAGTACTAGACCTTAAAGGTTAATTATCTAGTATTTACACTGAACCAGCCAACCAGGGCAATTTTATGGTCCTGGAACTGCAAAACTTGTTGGGCCGGGCCGGTGAAGATACGCATTAATTTGGTGATAGATACTCATAAATTAAACCCAAACATATTGGAAGAAGAGAGAGATAAGAGTCACATTCACAGAACTAGCCTAGCCTAGGCCTAGCAATACATTTTGGAATGTAATTTCAAATTCGATTCATGTGAAGGAAGAGATAGTCCACAGATTGTTAAGTAGATCACTTGAGTTCAATTGGGGCCTACTAGAAGAATTTCGAAAAGCTATAAACCTTTGACTTTGTACAAAGTCAAAAGTATTGTGGCCCAACCACTTGTCTCCACCACCTCTCGACAGTTTCCAGCTCCAAACCATCCTTTTTTTAGTTGCCTCTCCTACATATTTTTCACTACAAATTAAGATTTATCGCAGAGTCTAAAAATAAAATAAAAACCCTGTAAGCAAGCATATTGACTCCGAATATGTATAAGTTAAAACAAACCAAATGAGTTTTCTTAAATTCTTTTTTCACGTACCCACTTTGGTAGATATTCTTGACCTATGCTTAGGAGGTTGGTGTTGAGCATTACCAAATCCAATCATTAGCTGGCCAATAATCATAACAGAAACAAAGTTATAATAACAATTGAATCAACCGTTTTAAAACTTGGATATAACATTTGATACACTTTTGTTTTCTTCTTTATGCTGACTTTAATGGTCAGCAGGAAGTTATTAATATGAATTAAAAAACTAAGATAACAAGAACAGCTAATTAAATAATACAAACACAGATAATGGTAACAACTATAAGTTATAATCGGCTCTCGTTGTATTGAAGCCGGCCTACAGAGCCGGCTAGAGAATCATTCTTTTCTACAAATATACAATCATATATGTCTTTTTAGTCAAATATATAAATCATAGTTGTTTACGATTTTACGCTAAATAGATGACACGTACGTATATAAACTATAATAATTTGCTTAAACTGTACTATTTCATATGAGATTATATCCACTTATATATCGATATTGAATCATTGATCTACAAATTGCATTATTTTTAGACACAACTTAATACTTAAACATGGATTCATTTGGTATTTTCAAAACAATTTGTATCCTTTATAACCACTCAAACTAATCAGTAATCACATTTGAATGATGTCCGATTTCTTTAATGAGATATTAATCAACAAATTCATGCATATATGTATGTCAATATGCAATTAGTGACTCCAACTCTCATATTATTATATAGGTAGGTATATCTTATACACTTAAATACGACACTGCTTTATGACATCTTACCTACTACTAAAAACTATATCTACATGCTTAGATGCACATGCAAATATGTAAGAAACATCACTTAAAAATACTATAGTTCATCATATGAAAACATCTGTTGCATGGATTCCATACATTTTGTTTCCATCCATTAATTTAAACTAATATTCGGCTTATAGTTATGTACTATATCCGATAAGGCATTGGATGATCACCAATTCTTTACTCTTATGTGAACTTGAATATTCGGTCATCAGAAAAATCATTTGTTTTGTAAAACAAGCAATCATCTCGGTGATTAAAAGGCCATATATTTAATCTTAAATCAAGAATGACATTTCATATACGTATTAAATTAAATGTCACGGACCGTATATCGAATACGTACGAACCTCCGTGATAACCTATCGCTCGCGTAAGGTACTAAGGTAAAATAATAAGTGGTGCAATTTTAGTCTCAAAAGACACATATATCACGTAACCATGATTTGCGACGAGATATATGCATTTTGATTATCAAAAATATATAATAATTTTTAAAAAATTCATGTCCCTCGGCTAAGAAATGCACCCCACTATTCGAAGTCAACACAGACAAAAAAAAAATTACGAAAAACAAAAATAAAATAAAGTCAAAAAGCTCGCTAGTTCTCTTTTTATTATATTGTTATATATCTCATCTTAGTATATAATCACCAACCATCTTCTTCTTCCATTTTCTTCATCTTCATAATCTTAATTTTTCTACAAGTTTCTAGAGGAAAAAAACTAAAAATATATTTTTGTTAATTAAAGAAGAAAAATGCTAGGAAAAAGAATAGCTTCCTTCAAGAACTTAGCCAAGAAAATGAAGAGCATCAACACGACGACGAGAAGCGGAGGAGAAGGCGGCTCCCAGTCAACATATAACGAGTCTCTTCTGATGAATGAGGCGGAGGAGACGGCGATGGAGACAAAGACGCCGACCGGGACGTTCGCGGTGTACGTAGGGGAAGAGCGCGTGAGGCGCGTGGTTCCGACAAGCTACTTGAATCATCCTCTCTTTAGGATGCTCCTTGAGAAGTCTCACGACGAGTTCCTCTGTTTCGGGCAGAAGGTTATGTTGGTCGTCCCTTGCAGCCTCTCCGTTTTCCAAGACGTTGTAAATGCCATCGAGTCTTGTAACGGCAACTTTGATTTCGGCGAGTTTGTCGAGGAATTTCTATAAATTTAATTTCGACTTCTTCTTCATAATTATGATTTTTCCTCAAGACATTTTCTTAGGTCTTTTTTAGGAAATTATATATTCATAGGATTGATTGATTGTGAAATTTGTGATACATTGAACGCCCCTTTGTTGCGTGGTGTGGAATTTGTAATTTTTTCCTAAATATCAATACATAGTTTTATCTAGTTTAACTCTTTATTTTTTTTGGTTCCCTACCCTTTTTTTTCCTCAATGTTTGGTCACTTTTGTGGTTCAAACATGTTTGGATGTTAGTGTGAAGAAGACATGTCACGGTGAGTTTTTTTTTTTTTTTTTTTTTTGACAAAGTTGTCATGGTGAGTTAGTGAGAGCTGGTCTCGGACTCGGATCAAAATCCAACGTCGTCAGACAGCGACTGCGAGTTTGTGACACTGAAAGGATAATGAGAGAGAGCAATTACACAAAGTGAATTTTCTTTCTGACATCATTGATTTATCCGTTTTTGAATTCATACGTTACAATATCCGAACTCGGATCAAAATCCAACGTCGTCAGACAGCGACTGCGAGTTTGTGACACTGAAAGGATAATGAGAGAGAGCAATTACACAAAGTGAATTGTCATATATTTCAGTGCTTGCAACTTTTTAATGGGCTATTTGGGCCTTAGTGGGCTGATGATACGTAGAATATGTACAGTAGGACACGTCATCGTCGGCATGTAGAATAGAAAGGGCAAAATGGTAAAATAGGAACGAAGAAGCGTTAAAAATTCAAAAGAGAAAAGAGGAGCGGCTCTTCAAATAATTTCAAATCTCACATCCACCCCGCTCTCTCTCTCTCTCTCTCTCTCTCTATCTACCTCAGATTCCGTCGCCGGTGAGAGAGAATTCAAAAATATCAAAGAAATTTCGGATCTTGCTGAGCAATACAAGCTTTTGGAGTTTGAAATCAGTCTCTCTGGATTCGCCGTCCGTTCGCCGCTTTAAGATGTCTAGCCGCCACGACAAAGAGAAAGGCGTCAATGTTCAAGTTCTCCTTCGATGCAGGTAACGTCAAATCAATTCTCAAATTGAATTTAGGTTTTGGTTTCGCTTTTGGGTTTTTTGATTTGATTTCAAGGTTTATGCTCAAATTGATTTAGGTTTGGTTTCGCTACTGAATTTCTGGGTGTTTTTTTTTTTTGTTTCGACAGGCCATTTAGCGATGATGAATTGAGAAGCAATGCTCCTCAGGTTCTCACTTGTAATGATTTGCAAAGAGAAGTTGCTGTTTCCCAAAACATCGCTGGGAAGCATATTGATAGGGTTTTCACTTTTGATAAGGTAATATAGTTAGTATAGTAATCGTTGGTGGAGTATCTACATGTTGAAATGTGTGTTTTATATGATGAACACAGGTGTTTGGACCATCCGCACAACAAAAGGATTTGTATGATCAGGCCGTTGTTCCTATTGTGAATGAAGTACTTGAAGGTTTTAACTGTACGATATTTGCGTATGGTCAGACTGGTACTGGGAAAACATATACAATGGAAGGAGAATGTAGAAGGTCAAAGGTTTGTATTTTTGTGTGTTTGTTTTTGAAGGTTTGTTGCTGATGTTTCATTATCTAAGCTTATGTATTTTTATTTTTATTGGGACAGACCGCTCCTTGTGGAGGTCTTCCGGCAGAAGCAGGTGTTATACCTAGAGCTGTGAAACAAATCTTTGATACGCTTGAGGGTCAGCAAGCTGAGTACAGTGTTAAGGTCACGTTTTTGGAACTCTACAATGAAGAGATTACTGATTTGCTTGCTCCTGAAGATATATCCAGAGTTGCTGCTGAAGATAAACAAAAGAAGCCGTTACCTCTCATGGAGGATGGCAAAGGTGGTGTTCTTGTTAGAGGATTGGAAGAGGAAATCGTCACAAGTGCCAATGAAATCTTCACTTTGCTTGAGAGAGGTTCCTCTAAACGACGGACTGCAGAAACATTCTTGAATAAACAATCAAGGTAATGCATTTGATGTTTGTGTTCTCTTCTCATTAATGTCAACATTTGACTTACATGGTAAAGTTCTTCACTTGCAGTCGGTCACATTCTCTCTTCTCAATAACCATACATATTAAAGAAGCTACTCCAGAAGGTGAAGAACTAATCAAGTGTGGCAAGCTGAACTTGGTTGACTTGGCAGGATCAGAAAATATATCACGTTCTGGTGCTAGGGATGTAAGTAGTTCTCAATCAAGTTTGGAGTGTCTTTCTGCTCAATTTCTAGATTTCATGTCTGGTTATGTCAGATTTACTCAATATCGTTTCTCTACCTAGGGCCGGGCTCGAGAAGCTGGTGAAATAAACAAAAGTCTTCTTACATTAGGGCGAGTGATCAGCGCTTTGGTTGAACATCTTGGACACGTTCCTTACAGGTTTAACTTCTATTTTTAGTTTTTTTTTTTTTTTCCTTTAACGTTAGTGATCGCATAGCAGTCTTTCAAGTCATGCTGAATCCTATTTGTTTACTGCAATGAAATATAGGGATAGTAAGCTCACCCGTTTACTACGTGATTCACTTGGTGGGAGAACAAAGACATGTATCATAGCCACAGTTTCACCTGCCGTTCATTGTCTGGAGGAAACTTTAAGTACTCTTGATTATGCACACAGGGCTAAGAATATTAGAAACAAACCAGAGGTATTATCTTTCTATTTCATTTTTCCGGTTTCCATTCAGGCCAACCATTGAAAAGATAGAATTCATTTTATACTCTTGTACATTTTTTTTGGCAGGTTAACCAGAAAATGATGAAATCTACTTTGATAAAGGACCTTTATGGTGAAATAGAACGACTTAAGGCGGGTAAGAGGACTCTTCTCTGTAGCAGTGAATAGAATCATTGTGGACGGATGACTGATGGAGTACTTTCACTTAGCTTAACAAAATTACTCACTACAAAGTCTTCTGCTCTGACTCCTGTGTTTGTCTATTACTCATATGCTTTCTCTGTTTGTCTATTTAGAGGTATATGCTTCCCGTGAGAAAAATGGTGTTTATATGCCAAAGGAGAGATACTATCAAGAGGAGAGTGAGAGAAAGGTATTGAGTTTCTGCGCACAATTGTTCCTCAGACATGTTTACTTGGTTGAAGAAACAGAATGTTCATTTGACCTTAGAGTATCTGAGTAACCTCTTTGCCTCCTTACGTTACACTAATAGATATAATCTTTTGTTTTTTTTTTGCATTATTTTTAGGCAATGGCTGAGCAGATTGAACAGATGGGTGGTCAGATAGAGAATTACCAAAAAGTTAGTTTCTTCTTACTCTGTAGATCAAAATTATAAACTTTAGTGTGGGAATTACATGTGAACAATGGTTATTTACATATTTTTTATGACCAGCAACTTGAGGAGTTGCAAGATAAGTATGTCGGTCAAGTGCGGGAGTGCTCTGATCTGACTAGCAAGCTTGATATCACCGAGGTATTTGTTACTTTTTTTGGATTGAGTTTTATGCTTTATAACTATATCAATATGCTCCTCTGAGACTTCAGTTGTGCTATCTAGAAAAACTTGAGCCAAACATGCAAAGTGCTTGCTTCCACAAACGAGGAATTGAAGAAATCTCAATATGCCATGAAGGAGAAAGATTTCATCATTTCAGAGCAGAAAAAATCTGGTATATTCTTTAACATCACTCATATTAAATGCTGAAAAAGTTTTCTAACATGTTGCATTTTACCAGAAAACGTACTGGTTCAACAAGCTTGCATTTTGCAATCCAACCTAGAGAAAGCTACTAAAGACAATTCTTCATTACACCAAAAAATTGGTATGTGTATTTACTATTTTTAGCTGTCTTTTATATTAGCAATTTCATCAGAATTGTTAAATGTGATCTTGGTTTGCTGCTTTGCAGGAAGAGAGGACAAGCTCAGTGCGGATAACAGAAAAGTGGTCGACAATTATCAAGTAGAACTTTCTGAACAAATTTCCAATCTGTTCAATAGGGTTGCTTCTTGTCTGTCCCAGCAAAATGTACACCTTCAGGGTGTTAACAAACTGTCCCAATCTCGTTTAGAGGCACACAACAAGGTATCAAACTGTTTTATTCTTTTGGTTTTATAACAATCAATGAGTTATGTGTTGTCTGTAGCATAAAATTATGCTGGAAGCTGTTAGTGTTCTTACAGTTGACTAACTTTGTAATAATTTTTGCAAATATGTTTGTCTAGGCGATCCTAGAAATGAAAAAGAAGGTTAGAGCTTCAAGGGATTTATATAGTTCTCACTTGGAGGAAGTGCAGAATGTAGTTCGGTTGCACAAGGCTAACTCGAATGCTTGTCTTGAGGAAGTTTCAGCATTGACGACTTCAAGTGCAAGTTCCATTGATGAGGTACGCCTTGTTAACTTCTTTCCTTTTCTTTTAGTGACTTTTGGTGTGTGTTTTAAGTAGTTGTCTCTTCTATTTCAGTTTCTTGCTTCAGGAGATGAGACAACATCGTCTTTATTTGATGAACTTCAGAGTGCTCTCTCGTCTCATCAGGGAGAAATGGCTCTCTTTGCGAGGGAACTGAGACAGGTCAGTGCACAGAGATATAACATTTTGTAGCTATTTCATATATTGACCTTGGAGATTTACAAGAGTTGTTAACTGATTGTTTTCTCTTTTGTTCCTAATATGCAGAGGTTCCACACAACGATGGAGCAAACTCAGCAAATGTCTGAATACACAAGTACGTTCTTTCAGAAGCTTATGGAAGAGTCTAAAAATGCTGAGAGTCGTGCTGCAGAGGCAAATAATGGTCAAATAAACAGCATTATTGATTTTCAGAAGACTTACGAGGTCATGATACTACATCTCTTAAGTTTCACACAAAAAATCTTTGCTTGATCCCATCTATAACTGATATGTGTTGTGCAGGCTCAGTCAAAATCTGATGCAGATAAACTTATAGCAGATTTAACTACCCTCGTCTCAAGTCACATTCGTCGCCAACACGAACTGGTTCGTTGCTTCTTCCTTCATTTTTTTCTCTCTCTCTTGCATTTTATGTTACATAAACTGTATGTTTTGCCCGGCAGGTTGATACAAGACTCCATAATTTTAAAGATGCCGTCTCTTCCAACAAAATTTTCTTGGACGAACACGTCTCTGCTGTTAATAATCTGACTAAAGACGCAAAAAGAAAGTGGGAGACCTTTTCCATGCAAGCTGAGAATGAAGCCAGAGAA